GATAATTATTAGAAAACAATTTTTTTTTAGTTATATCTAAAATGCATCCTACTTTACAATTTCTAAAAATTTTGTACAAATTTATTTCCTGAATAAAAGAGTTATGATAATTATTAAGAAACATATTTTTTTTCAATAATACCTAAAACGCATCTTATTTTAAAATTTCTGAAAGTTTCACAAAAATTGCTTCATAAATAACTAAGTTATGATGATTATAGTAACGTACAAGTTTGCCCAAAAACGTGCGGTCCTAGGCGTATGTCTTACAAATTTCTTAGCGGCCCTTAATGTGTTAATTAGTAGGGTAATCAAATTTCATATACTATCATTTATTTTATAGTCCCAAAGGTTTCCAAGCATTCAGTTTAACTCGATGTATTCTTTAGACAATTGTCTATACTCTATAAATACAAAACTACAAACAATGAAATTGAATAAAAAATCAAATTAATTTCGAATGAATTAAACTAAACGTAATAAAAATGGTGTGTTTTCATATCTAAAGCGCAGAATTTTGTCTTTTCTCTAAACGAAAACCTCTCTTAAACAAACGGCAGATGCTCTAAGACTTCTAGGCGACCGTGAACGTCAACACGATAATTAGGTTTGGTACTTATTACAGTTTAGACCAGAATTATCTTCAACGACAAGAGAACTCGTTCCTGCGAAGTTTCAAACAGAACGATTTAATAATTTATGTACTTACACGGAAGAAAGAGAGACGACCAAGGTGAAAAGAGTCGCGGTCTCAATTATGGAGACGTCTGCACGCTCCGCGGCTTCCTGACGGTTAATTATTCAGAAATTGGCGACGAGCCACACATCGCTCCGCTGTGCATCAAATAGTCGTGTGTCTCAAGGGGTAGGGGGGGGGGTGCACAAAATAACCAAAGTTTGAGATTGGAATGCCGAAAACGGAATTTTCCGCGAAAAGTAGCCCTCCCCCTTCTCGATGAATTCGACGCTGCGCGCAAGAGAACTTCCCCTATTAATTACTTAACGCCGTCGCTCACGGCAATTAATTAAAATCGCAGGGAAAAGTTCGGCGAGCACCTGTTACGTGTTTAGAATTATTTCTTCGCGTTCCAGATCATTTAATGAAATTCTTCGAACGACTGCGACTGGCGCGTTCCTCGATGCGGCCATTGGCTGAGATTTCTATTAATTCGAGGGGGATAATTAATACGTAGCATATAATCCTGTCGACGTAGATTGGCATCGATTTTGTTTCGTTCAGTGGCGAGGCAGCAAAGTATCGCGTGGGATATTGTTATCGTGTTCGACAGACGGGGCTTTAATCGTCGCGATTAAACACGCAGGTATGCAAATGCGCGTAATCAGATTTTCAGGTGACCTACCGAAGCGATATTTCGGATCTGATTTCGTTTATCGGCGAATATCGATTAATAGACGACGCTATCGGTGCTTTCACCGGTACGAGTTTTATTTTGATTTTGTGCTTGGACTTGTTAATGGGCCACATTTAAATTTTGAGGAATTAAATTGGCTTTGGAAAGCTGGGATGTTTTATGAGGTGAGATTAACAACCAACTTTGTACCTAGTATTCTTTTTAAATTTCTTTTCAAATTATTAGCTGAATACCAAAACGACTAAAAATAAAACCTAATGTATAATAACTTAACCAATAAAGTGACAATAGTTACACATTTTCAGTCTCATATACACGATATATCATATATAAATGAAATATTTTCAACACATTTCGAATACCATGTATAAATAAACAGCACAATTTAATCTTACGATTTGAGTCTGAGTGTGGAGTCACCAAATAAAAAACTTTTTTCTAAATTAACAATAAATCTATGAAAAGGCTTACAAAATAGTTATATTAATTTGTTTGTATTTAATTCTCGTCTAATCACAATATTTGAGTTATTTATGTAAGTATCGATTATACGACTAGGTGACTGATTGCTTGATAGGTATATTATTGAATAATTATATCTAATCCCAGTCAAGTGTTATGTATATTTAGCATAGTTTTACAAAAATTGTATTGTCCTTGTTATGTTTGTAACACATATGACACGCCATTGCATCAAATTTCTCAATTGTTCGAGAACAAACTTTTATAAAAAAAACTGTTTATTACGGCGTGAGCAAAATAACTGGTTGTATTTGAAAGAACGTCTTTCTGGTATCCTCATTTCGGATGTGAACGTTAATGACAACCGAATTAATTAAACTATTGAGGTAGCAGAACTGTAATGAGTGTTTAACAATTTTAACAAATAACTTTAACTTTATTTAAGGGGGCATTTCACTGTGAACGCACAAAGAAAAGCATATTTTCAATAATTTTTTTCTCAGGAACTATTGCATAAAATTGAATGAATGTTTTTTCCCCTTGAAGGTATGATTAAGGAAAGTAAATAAAAAAATTTTTTTTTGGTAAAAAATATTTCGTCATTTATTTACAAAATAATATGCATATGTGCTAAAAAAAAAGTTATCCGCTGGCGCAGGTGATTTTGGCTCTCCTGGTAATCTGAAACAGAAAATCGAAGAAGTTTATTAAACTATGTCGTCACACCTATCGTCGGAACCTCCACTTATTTATTTCATAAAAAATAAACAAACTGGCAGCGTTTCTTATGAAAGAGAGAAAAAAACACTCTTTTGTACCTTAAATCAAGCGAAATTGTAAGTAAAAATCAAAATATCAACTACTTGGAGGTTCCGACGATAGGTGTGACGACATAGTTTAATAAACTTCTTCGATTTTCTGTTTCAGATTACCAGGTGAGCCAAAATCATCTGCGCCAGCGGATAACTTTTTTTTTAGCACATATGCATATTATTTTGTAAATAAATGACGAAATATTTTTTACCAAAAAAAATTTTTTTTATTTACTTTCCTTAATTATACCTTCAAGGGGAAAAAACATTCATTCAGCTTTATGCAATAGTTCCTGAGAAAAAAATTATTGAAAATATGGTTTTTTTGTGCGTTCACAGTGAAATGCCCCCTTAAGAACTTGGTAAATGCAGAAGGTTTCTACAAGTTAGTTGAATCAGTGGTGGTTCGTGAGAATCTGCTCTTCTCTTTTGGGGTGACAATTGAAGATACCTCGGTGTATTTCTCCTACTTTCACTTGTCATTCCTACATTTTCAAAATTCACCCTGATTGGTACTTGGTTTAGAAACAAGGCCCAATCAGGGTACCTAGAGTCCCACACCACCCTCGTAGCCTTCACCGCCTTCACCAGCGGTGCTATGCTGCAATGAAACCGACTCCTTGAGGCAAGGGTGGGTGGTTATACACTGCGGAAGGCCACTGCCACTCATGAGTTTTTCCAAGTTTACGACACGGACAGCTGCTGAGGATCGGAACCACGCGAAATTCTAAAGACCTCATCGATGGTCGGAACTAAATAGATGGATATTAACGGCAATATCAGCATAAACTCAAAAACAGCCTAGCTTCGTGAGCATGTTGTGAACTATGGTTGGCCTTCCGTTTAGTGTTTTATGTCGCTCGAAAGGTTAAGACTCGTTGGCAATTCTAACTGTATATATGTATAGAAAGGCAAAATGTTAGAAGCAATATTTACGAAGTAACATTGTTATGAAAAAAACTTTTCATTACACATTTTTCACCGACTCGTCTATAAGGAATCATCTTCTTATCACTTCCATCCTGAGCAAAATACCCTGTTTATTGCGCTTGATACTTTCTTGTACTTCTTCACGGTGCACGACGCCCGCGGCGGATCCAATCTGAACTCTAAATTACACCTTAATAGTCGAGCATCCGTACCCCTCCCCGGTCCACGAGACGTTCTCTAATTTGAGCAGATTATTAAAATCGTATCCCTGTGATCCACGAAATGAAGGATCACCTTCGTAGGCAAGCAACGACTGAAGTTTTCTCGTAAAATAAATCAGGCTGTCCCATCGTGGTAATTCGACGCAGCCGCCTCTGCCCCACTGGTAACATCGGATATTTTCTTAATAGTAAAAGTTCCATGGAAACCGACTATTGTTCGTCCTCACGGACTCTCTCATAAAGTAGTACACCGAATCCTCCGCTACTCGGAATCTTCTTTTTATTCGATTTTAGTCCTCTCACTTCCCCTTCCTTGGTTTATTTTCCGATCTCTGTTTCCGCGAGAGTTCCGAGTTACAAATTGCAAATATATATTTCGACGCCCTTGAGCGTAGTCCAGAACGCGCAATTGCTTCGGAATTCATGGGCGATTTTTACACAGATATTTATTGTTTGATGTAGTTCTTAGGCATTCTTTAGATATAATAATAAAATTATGAAACGTATTTTAAAAATTAATTTTATTCAAGGCACATTCAGATAATTTTTACTGTGTATCTCTTTTTGTTTGTTTTTGATCATGTTTATTTTGTAAAAACATTCTATACTAATCGCGTAAGATAAATACATTTAGTACAGGACCAAATTTGTTTACCGAGTTTGATAATTAATATTTATTTATCTATTTTTCTATGTAGTTTACATCTGCGGTAACATCTTTTTCTATTTACTTTATATCTGTACATATGAAGTTGTTTTACTGCACAAATTATTTACAAAATAAACGTGATAAAGAAAAAAGCAAAATAAATATATAAACCTAACTTTTTATAGGGACGTGATGTAACATAACTTGTATTTATTTATTAGTCAAGTATAACGATAAATGATGTAAACAATATCGAGTTTAACAATATTTCAATGATATTAATTAAAATGATTGTCGTGGCTTAATAGAAGATCAGTTTGCTTTTCGGTGTGTGGCGAAATCATCTTTTGTGCCTATATTATTGAACAATAATTTTCGTACAGTACTTTTCCCTAATATTTATAAAATTTAAGTCTTTTGTTGGAGTCAATTTACACGTAGCTTGACGTCTAGAAACTCCATGCTATAAATCACGTTTTCATAAAATACATATATGCACTTTAAATCTTAATTAACTAGTACTAAACTTTGCTTTTGTTCGTGTCTGTTACAGTCACCGCACAAGCGACTATATCGCCGTGTATTCGGGACCAACAACGTCGAGTCCTCTCCTGAGGATGCTATGCTGCAATGAAACCGATTCCTTGAAATACGATGGACAGAAGCTTCTAGTCGAATTCAAGTAATTTATATGTATCACCAGTATTCGGTATTTCGTGAGGAATTGCCTTTTTGCATACCAAAAAACGTTTTCTTTATCAGCTTTTATTGGAAAGTGAAGGTAAAATTTTTAAAATATAAATGATACAGCCGGTTGACGGTGAGATCGCGGAATAAACATCAGCCCCTGGTTGACATGATTTTTACCGTTTAAATAAACTAAAATAACATACTTTACCAGCGTTTTCCTACAGAGCCTCTCTTTTCAGACGTTTACACTAGATTGAATTACTAAAATATGAAATAAATAGGTAACAAATATAAAACAAATATGAAAATATATTTATGCGTTAATTATTGTTTTACATATTCTTTTTAAATATTCTGATTGTAATTACTAGACTGCGGATTTGTATGCATTTATAGGAAATTTGAATGTGCGAGAACCTGCAAAGTGCAAACAATATGCAAGAATATAAAAAAGATTAAAAGTAAAGTTCATATTATAATACTTGCAGAGTAAAATAAATTTCTATTTAGGTTCAGTTTTTGTAGGCACGATTACAAAGATTTTATTTCGCATAAAGATCTACAGTCTAGTAACTACAAATTAAAGGTTATCTGAATAAATAAATAACAGCCTGTTTAAAACTAAAAAGACGGCTTTCTTTAGTTATTAGTTTATCTTCAACAATTCTACTTAATTTCAAGGAAAGATGTTTTTAAAATTCATTATTAAAATAAGTAATCTATTCTAAGAGTATCGGTTTTTTTCAGAACGGGTCCTGAAGTGCCACCATACAATTACAACGGTTTCGTTGCGAGTCTAAGTTTCATCGAAATAACGACGGAAGCGCCGACGACAGTTACTGCGGACCCCATCAATAAAAATCGTAAGTGCCTAGAAAACGAGACCGTTTCTTCGTTAATCACGTTCCCTCCCCTCGTTAGCATTTACGATATTCGACACGACCAGATTCAATTTATTCGATCTTCGAAGAAAACATGGAATCTTCTTTTAAACCCGACAGCGACCTCAATCTCTTATTCATCCAATTAGGATCCTGATGACTTAACACACCCTAAATTTTTTCCAAGATTCTTAACGACAAAGTCAATCGAACTATCAAATTTAATTTATACGACAACCTCGAAATTTTCTTGGATATATATATAGTAGAAGTAGGAATTCATTATTACAGAATAATATTATAAAATTTATTGAAATTTGAAATGACAAATATAGGTTTTTCCCACATTCATTTGATGTACAATATATTATACAATTATTTATTACATTATAATTCATATATAATATATTAAATTAAACGTGCAATGTATAATGAAAGTATATATGTACATTTTATATGTATATTGAAGCGTTCATATGTTTTGGATAAATTAAATAATTCTATAAGACGAAAGTATAATATAAAATTAAGTAGGTACCATACTACAATCTTTAGTAACAGAAAAGAAAATCCGAAAGAATGTCTGATACAGGCTAATAATTTAATATAGAGTTATTCTGTCACCATCAATCATAGAAACATAGACAACAGTATACAAGGTGCCTCAGCTGAAAGAGTCCAAAATACCTCCTTTCCTTTATATGAAATAAAAATGATTTCTTGCACGGTAATTAATACAAGAAATATGTATATCTTCTTAGTAAGAAAAAGTAACGATTTTGAAAAAGGTCGAAAAAAATGAAGTTACAAAAAAGTTGGTTTATCACATTCCTCCTCCAAAGCCATTAAAATCATGGCATAAACAATTTTCATATCACAAGGAACGAGGTAGATATTTAGGTGGCCTCCCTCAGTTGGAACTCCCCTTGCAATACTTTCAAAACTTATACGAAACTGAAGAAATAACATATTTTCGCCATTGTCTGACCGGTGGACTCGTTGGAGCCCCTCCTCCCCATAGTCTTTCCAGAGTTAAATCTTACTAGGGATAATAGATTCCGATTCCGACACCGTGTATTCGGGTTTCAATCAGAGAGCGACATAACCCAAACCGTGTTGTCCTTGTTTCAATGAAGCAGTGATCGGTCTCAAGGCTTCGCGTTACCACGTGTTTTCAGTGGACACGATGAAGTCGATCGGTTACAACGTGCACTACAGCAACCGGGCCCTCCACGATCACAGAAAGGACCAGGGCTCGGTGACGAGCAGCTGCGACCTGGAGGTCAATGGCGAGGATGTTCGTTCGGGTCACCACGACACCAGAGGGAAGCTCAAGTCGACGACGTGCAGACTCGTGCTTCGAGGACGTGCTTATGACACAGGACACGTTTCGCTGGCCAGTTACAATCTCAGGTAACGCTGGCCACCTTTCGCCATTTTATGACCTTGCACGCTCGAGTTTTACTTGTCTAACTCCAGTCCAATATCCACGACAACCTTCCACTTCGCAACCACTGATGTATTCTTGAGCCAATTCGATAGAAAACACATGTGCTGTACCGCTTTTTGTTTTGCTTAGTTCTGAGATGGTTTTGGCGAGAATTTTTAAATAAGTCTGGCCATCTTTCGTCATTTTGTGACCTTCCATGCTCGACTGTATCTGTCGTACTTTAGACCATGTCTGCGACAAAATTCCATTCTGCAAGATTAATTTATTCCTGCACCAGTTCGAAAGAAAAACCATGGTTTTATAACACCTTTTTACTTTTCTCAGTTTTGGAACTGTTTTAGGGGAAACCATATAAAATGTCGCAACATAGTGTATTACGTTCATTGCCAAATTGATACTCGTGAAAGTTTACAAGAAACAAACAAGGAACTAAAATTTTATCTCAAGACAATTGTCAAGGACACAATCTAACATTTGTCACAGTAGTTACTTTTTTACTCATCCGAATTCAAGAATCCTCTTCAGATTTATTTTCTATAACACCTCATCTTCAGAATTAATATTTTTATTTCGGTAGTTTCATCTTTTACTATAAGTTTGAGACCAAAAATCCCGAATCAGAGTTGTCCAAGAACTACAGTAAAAAAACACAGATTAATTTTTAAGATGCTCAGGTGCTTTTACAAACAAATGTCGCGTAGATAGATACAGACTAGTCATGCACTTAGCTGAACCACTGAAATGCATTTACATACTATTGAGAGGCGAATGTGATTTCTGATGAGTTGTTATTTAAATAGTAACCATGTTGTTGAATCTATGGTTTCTCATGAAAAACCGTTTAGGTGTGAGTGAGATTGCACGTGGTAGATCGAAATACAACTAAATAACAAAATTAACCGTATATTTTCGTTGTAGTCCTAAGAAGCTGTTTACTAAAAGTATAAGTGTACTCTGTATTTTGATTAATGCGTCTATATGTATATCTGGATGTGTTATAGCATGTATAGCATGTATAGAAAGGTAGAGTTTATTTTATCAGTAAACATTTTGACCTTTTATCCTCATTGATAAAAAAAAAATAGTAATCAATGTATAAAAATATAAATGAAGGTTTAAAATATGTAAAATTTTGGCAAACCGAACAACACACATGTAGTTAGATAACAGTTGAAGGTAAAGTATTTACAGTCGATGATAAACCAATAGAGAATCATCAAAGATAATAAAATGTCATTTTAATGAAAAAGAAGTCTATCTGATTGTTTATGAAATTAATTGTTTATTACGAAGTTGATCTTTTAAACTCGAAAAATGAAAAAAATAGAGTGAAAATACTAATAAAAATTGGAAGTAGAAATAACATTGAAAAAAGATAGAGCATCGACCTATATAATAAACTTTTTCTAAAATTTACATTTCCCAAAAATCAACCCTTTTCATTCATTCTATTTTTCGTAATTGAATCGTGTATTTAAAAACACATTAAACTTCATTTATTTTATAACCTGTATGCTACATTTAAAAATGAAAATTCTCAAGGTAAAACATTTATACTACGACGGTAAATTTATTTTAAAAAATCTCTGTACCCTTTTAATATTCTCGTAGAAAAGAAAAATCTAGCTGGCCTCTAAAAAATTAAAATTAAATCACGGTAAAAGTGGGGTGAACGAAACACGTCGGTATTTGAGTCGTCGCTTTCGTTCTCTGCTTCATCAATATTTTTACGTGCACGTAAAAATACGTGGGCCGTGGTCGAAGAAGCGTGAAACTGCGATTGCTTAACATGCCTGTGAGAAGCTCTGGGGCATGGTTTTAAGGCGATTGCATTGGACCGTAAGGGTAGAAGCCACCTGAAATGCAGTCACGTAGGGGACCGTGCGCCACCACTTGGTCCGTGGCAGGAATTGCATTTCATTTGTTTACCTTTTTTGTAGAGTCGTATTTGAGGATCCTCGATGCCCCAGCTCCTGTGCATTCGAGTCGTGTCTGATCGTGCATGCTGACGAAACGCACGTAAAATCAAACATCAACTTGCGTTCACTCTGGTCTTTAATCCTCTCATTGGTCTTCGGAACTAATTATTCTTCACTGATGGAAAATCTTTCTTCGTAGACTAAACATAGGTTATCCCCAAATTGGACCACTTTGGACATTAGCTTGTATTGTATTTTTTTTAATAAATGACTCGTAAATTGTCTTGAAAAAAGCATAGAGATCAAGAAGGTATTATTTCTTTCTTTGTTGCTATCTTTGAAGAACGTATTTCTTTGTAACATCTGGGAGAGAAAGAGATTTCATTTATTATACTAACGACGTTTTAGTTTTCTTTTGTTGAGACCTCTTCAGGTGTATATTATAGTACATAAATAAATAAAAGGTAATTGTTGAACCAAAGGATCAACAAATTAGAAACACGTGTAAGGATATGGAAAACAATAAATATTTTGTTTGAATTATTCTATATGTGATGAACATTTTATATGATTAATTCTAATAAAATTCTTGGAAATATCGAAACTGATTCAAATTAGACAGCCTTTCTCTAGAAATGTAAGAATACAGTTACAAAGAGAATAAATATTTTTATTTTAATAATTCTGCATGCGATAGACATTAATACGTAGAAAACGCTAATCAGTCAAAATAATTTCAATTTAATTTTGTCAGAAATAATACAATTCATGACAATGCCGAAACTAGTCCAATTTGGGCAACGTTTCTCTATTAGGTAACGCTGGGGTTGATAATCAATATCGTCTCGGCACTGTAACTGCCAAGGAACGTGGAAGAGTCTTTACGTGGAACGAAATTTGCATACACTGGGAGATGCAATGTAAATGGGATATCTCGTGCATTTGAATATCCCTTAAGACGTATACCCGACTCAAGCTTAGAAAGCTTCTTCAATAACCTCGCGTAAAATGAACACTCCACGTTACAAAGTGAAGAACGTCATTCCCAGAGATTCAAACTACGCTTTCAGCCGATTTATCAAGTAGTTGCGCGAGTTTTTGAATATTTCTAATTATCTCACGATGTCTTTCCAAGTGTATTATTCAAAAGTCATGTCGAGTATTTACATGGCACCTTTATTGTTACAAAATGTGTAAAAAATATGAAGAACATGACATTGCTTGAATTATTATACTTACACAAGTTGAAACAAGGAACACAAGGATCCAACTTTCTTGATCTGAAAGGTATCTTCAAGAAAAGATTTAAATAGTAAAGATTTATATGAAAATAAAAGAAATCCAAATGCCCAGTTCTAGCTTTCAATAATTGTACAATGGACACGAGGAATAATAAACTTCGAATACAACTTTAGGATTCAAATACCTCATACATCGAGGTACACTATTTCAAGACGTACCATTTTACACTTCCTAAATGAATTTATAAAGAGCTTAAAACCCCATTTATGGACCGATATATATGGTCTATCTAAAAAGAAACCGAACTTTTGCTATAAAAAGAAAAAAGTACAGTAAAATTTTTATACACACGTTTATTTACTCAAAATAATCTTCCTCTGCGTCAATACAGCGTGTAGACCGCGTAATTAACATTTCGAAGGACCTTTGCAGCTCCTGTTTTGGTAGTCCGTTTAGTACGGCGGTTACAGGGACCAGAATCTCCGAAATATTGCTATAATGTGTCCCTTTCATTGGAATTGGCATTCTTACCTTAGATCATTCACCCTACTCACCTGATCTGTCTCCCTGCGATTATTTTCTTTTCCCAGAATTGAAAATTCCAATGAAAGGGACACATTATAGCAACATTTCGGAGATTCAGGTCGCTGTAACCGCCGTACTAAACGAGGTACCAAAACAGGAGCTGCAAAGGTCCTTCGAAATGTTTTGATTTATTAAGCGATGAATTACGCGGTCTACACGCTGTATTGACGCAGAAGGAGATTATTTTGAGCAAATAAACGTGTGTGTAAAAACTTGACTTGTACTTTTTTCTTTTTATAGCAAAAATTCGGTTTTTTTTTTAAACAGACTATGTAGCTATCAACGTTTCAAGATTCTACGAAATCTAACATCAACAAAGATTGTCGCCTTTCAGTCGCCACTCGAGTTGCCACGTAAAACCCAGTGGTGTCTGAGAGTCACCTCTCGAGTGCAAAGGGTTGAGCAATGTCCAAGTGCACCTCCAGTCCTCGTTGAACGTGTCCCCAACCTTTCTTGTTGTCGTTCGTCTCGTCGGCTAAGAATCTCGTTTTCGTTGGTACGTATCAATCAGTATAAATCATCGAACCGCGCCAGCAGAAACCACCTACCTCCTTGGTCCTCTTGGAAGTAATAGATACGAAGTAGCACTAAATCACACGGGAATGCGGCTGGCTCGTATCCCTGGGATTTTCAATTATCATGCACAATGGGTGAAACGCGCGGACCATGCATTCGTGGCTTTGCAGATATGTTCCTGTAAGAGATGGGAACACACGGTCGCCGGGTTGGAAGCTCCTTCCTCTTCACAGAAGCCGTAGCCAAGGAGCGAACGTAACCCCCGTGGGTCTCAGGCTGCACATATATAACCAGGAATAAACTAAGGGAAGACACGCATACCGCCGTACATCGAGATAGAGGGAGAGAAACTTGGAGCATAAGACAGACCGTGGAGTTTATTGAAGGAAGCATCAATTCTGAATAGAATATTGTACATTCAGTCGCTACTGAACCAGACGGATGTCCTGTAGGACGAGGCGCATGGATGTTTTTCTTGGGGCTAACTGGTTCCTTGGAAGTCCATCCTTTATATTGATATTTATTACTTCCTTTTTCTGTTAATATTTTAGGCCACGATCAATTCGCATGTCAGACTTTGAGAGGGAGACAACGATTGATATTTATTTCCTTTACTGTCTCGTAAATATTTTAGGCTACGATAGGACAGACCGTGAAGTTTATTGAAGGGAGCATCAATTCTGAATAGAGTATTGTACATTCAGGAGTTGTTGAACCTGACGAATGTTTTGTAGCACAAGGCACTTTAATTCTTTTCTTGTAGCTAATTGATTCCTTGGAAGTTCATTCTTTCTATTGACATTTATTTACTTCTTCTTCTGTTAATATTAATTGTAAAAATTAATTCTATGCTTTTACATTCAATTGTTTATAATATTAGTTTATGTAAAAATTACTCGTAATTTTGTTTCGTTAAATTACCAACGTCCTACGTTCTTAACCTAATCTCCATTATAATGAATCTATATATATCCAAAATCTAAGTTTCACCCTATGGGCATAATTGACTTGACTATTATTAGGTGTAGAAATTAATACTCTGCCTTTATATATGTAATATTAGCATAACCTCTTTACAGTCTTACTATTATTCGACTATTCAAATACGACATTTATGACTTGTTTCTTTCAGTTTCTAATTTGTTACATATTTCAATATATATTTTTAGTTTTGTCAATTTTCAATTTTTCTGAAATTGCCTGGTAATTGAAATGGTCGAAACGTTTAATAAACTATTAAAGTTCATATTTAATACAGAAATTTTCTGGTCTAATGCTTCTACAACCAAAGAAAAATAATTTCTCTTTCCAAAAATGATTTTATTCAAATGACTCAAATGCTTCGATATGAGAAAGCACGTTGTGCGCATGGCAGAACATGCGGATAATAGAACGTCCGTATATCAGGGGATTCGGATAATGGGGGTACGGATACGGGAGTCTCTATTGTACTTAAGATCCCCTGCTAAAAAAAGAAAATGTTTATTTGTAGCAAAAGTAAACTAGGAATCTTTCTTCGGTGAAATAAATTTAAATAATTTTCAATATTTCGACCATAGTGATTACTGGCCCCCTTGAAGACGCAATTAATTTTTACGAATAACATTATAAGTAAAATTTAAACTCCTTAATATATTTCTGCAGATCACCACTCCTTTAGCCCATAAATCCACTGGCTTGATTATGCATCATTGAAATATTACGACCTCTTTTACCTTAATTTTTCCCCACCATTTAGCTACATCGTTCAAATATTTATTCAGTGAAAGCTACGTGCCTAGCACGAAAATTTTTAACATCTCTCCTCTGGCCAGCTTGCATTATTTATTATGATCGATATGCCGCTATCACCATTTCTCCTTTCTGCTTTACACCCGCTCTGCCTCTGGAACTGCCTTTCATCGCAGATCGTATTTACACTACGCAGCGAGTGAAGGAATAAATTTAAACGTGTAATTAAATTCTCAAAAAATGTTTATTGAACAGGTCAGCCATTCAGTCGAGTTAATTGCTTCTTGCCGCGAACGTAATGCATTCATCTCGAGGAAGCAAATTTTTATTCAACGCATCGGGTCAAACATGCTTCGCGAGCTACTTCATTTTTTGATGTCAACGAATTAATCAAACCTTGTTCGTGACAGCGAAGTTAATTCAAAATCCCGTAAAACGTCATTATTATCATAGAAGCCTCTGCATCTCAAACGTTTATTTAAATGTCAAGTTTTAGAAACTAAGATTCTTAAATTACCGTACCGTCATTTCAAAAACAAAGTTTATTTAAGAGTATATTTACTTGATCCAGTTACGAAAATGATGTATGTAGATTGGTGTAATTGAGATGTTGTGATCATGTAGTATTTAAATTATTCTATTGCTGGTCTATGAAAAAAAATATACATGTCGAATTGAGTTACCTCCTCCTTTTCGAAGTCAGTTAAAAATTATAAGAACATTATATATCACCTAGTACGACACTGAAAAAAAACAATTCAACCCTCCTGACCTTTGATTTTGTAATTTTAATTATAATATTCAACTTACTGTGCAAGTACCCGAAACAACAAATTTAAGAATTTAATTTACTTTTCTGTACATCTTACTAAGTTTGATTTTTCTTCTTTCTGCAATCATTGAAATTTATTTTCTCAAATGTTCTTCTCGAATGTTCTTTTAACTTCTAACACCTTGTACGTATGTATTACATGAAAATACTGAGCATAGTTAATACAAGTATAAGATTTATCAATTTAATTCATGACCTTTATTATAGAATGAATCTCAAGCATGACGTTGTTTAACGTTGACATTATTGTAATATTCTGACATTTACTAAAGCTTTTAATTAATATCCGTTTTTTCCAAATCAATACTATTTTATTATCTCATCAGGTATCATTTTTAACAAAAAACTTCTTTGAAACGTTGAAGCATATCGTAGATATTATTTTTTCCAAGATTACTCCATTCTTTCCTTAACAGATGTTAAAAATATTATTATCATAGTTATCGTAAAAGATACTTTTCATATAATGTTTTGTGATCGTTTCAGTTGTGCTACTTACCATACAATGAAATGAAAAATATCGTTCTCCGTTAACATTGCAGTGCTCCGTCCTGTCAATCTTCGATCGAAATATACGACGGGATTCCCGAAGAAGTGATGCTTGGCACCATGAAATCTCTCAAGAGAATCTGCAGTCCAGCGCAGAGACTTCCACGAGAATTCAAGCAACAAGATACGTAAGTGGATTCTCCAGTTATTAGACGATAGATACCGGCGTGGTTTACTGTACACAGCTTATTACTCGGATACTGTAGTAAGAAGTCCTCGAGATTCCGCTCGATTCATGATGCGCAATGCAAACCACTCCTGCTATCCACCCCGCGAGCCGACGTAGCTTGCTAAACTTCCAAAATTAATGTAAGGAACTCATCTGATCGGCAAATTCGTCGAACATTCTCTAAGAAACATACTGCGGATCACCAACTTGGGAAATCTGTTTTGTGCCTCGGCCTCGAGTACCAAGGGCCACGTTTCAAAGCCTTGTTTGTTCCTCGTGTTAACAGATAGCGATCCGTATACATGCATAGTGCGGTACCATTCAGAATTATTCCATTCATCATATATGATGAGAGAATCGCGAATTATACCGGAGCTTGTCCTGGAACATTGTTTGCATTTCTAAACATTAACATTTAACCGGCCTGTCGCACAGTGCGTCGAACTGTGGACAAGGGAAAAAAAATAAAAATTTGTTTCTTTGATTTGATTATTTAGACATGTTTTGTGAGTAGAATTAATTTTAGTCTGAAGTTATCTTTCAAGAGGATAGGTACTTCTTTAAAAAAAATTAATATTTTTTTTTTATAATGGATCTGAATTTTCGTGGTAAATTAGCCCTCTAATACTAATACTTAACACTACTTTATAGCAGTTTTATAAAGTTTTAATAATATATGTAAAATGAACGATTTGCACTAGTTAACATTTCAATTTTAAAGTTTCCTTTGTTTAACTTAAAAACTAATTTTTTCGAAAAGGCTGAAACGATCTCTTCCCGGCTTGGCTTAAAAAATTTATTAGGTAGCCTACTTTAAGATAGTGAAAGAAATTCCTGCCCCAATCCGCCTCCTTTTTAGAACCGAATGATTGAATCACGGAGTGACAATCTCGATTCCGACGATCCGGCATAAACTATTTTATGTGTAGATATTATTTAAAGTTAAACTTCTCTATTATCTTTTTAAAATTAATTAATTAATTAATAATTGTTTAACAAAGATTTTGGTAAAATATTATGTAATAAACTTTTCCTTCATTGTTTTAATATACTTATTTATTTTTTTTAACCTTTTTTATCAAATAGAATATTTTTGAATACTGATTTGATTTTTGTCCTTATTTCTCATATACTCATCGCACTGTGTGTCGGGTAAAAATACCGGTTTAAGAAACCTACGATATTGGTTGGGCGCGAACAAATAACCATTTAAACTTCACTATACATTGAATGTTTCTAAGTTAATGATCACAGCAATTATTGATTTCTTTATATTTATTATAGAGTAGTAGTTATAAAACAAGAATAAAATTTTCTACGACAATGCATATACCAATTATTATGCTCTCACTACGATATTCAAGTCACATAAATGTCTAAAAATTGGATTTTCGCTGAGTTATTTTCTCAGAAAAATTATTATTAATTTCAGTCAATCCCCCAAAAATGACAGTGTAAGTCAAAATACCTACGTTATCAATTATCCTTATTTGTTTACACCTTTTCCTTGAACCGAATTTTTACTTCCTTAGCTTTTCATTAATTTAAAAAAAAAGATATAATAGGTACAGGTCCTGCTATGGTCTTAAAATTAAGGTAATAAAATTTGCAGCAACTTCATTTGGCATGACTCATGAGTTTCGTCTAGGATGAATATTTATGTCAATACATCGGGCGAAAGTAGGGCAAAAGATGAAACTTCTACTTTTTTGGAAAATTTTTCACTTTTCGCAGTACTGTATCTCTGGAACTAAGAGAGCTACAGAGCTCAAAAATATCTCAAATTGTAGGAATTTTCATCTACTTAAAAAAAGATAACAGTAACTTTTCTCGTCAGGATACTCCTCTGGTAACTTTTTTGCGAAAAACTGAAAAAAGTGCGAAAATGCCGCGGTTTCTCGGCTGTAACTCGACTGGCTCACGTTTCTGAGGGTTGTAAATCTAGATTTATACTGTTGCGAGCACCCTTTGGATGGATCCAAAGCCTGCTGGTGCTCGCGACCGGAACAAGAAGACAGCGAGAAGAAGGCGATCGGATTGATCGCCTGTCAAGCTGTCACATTCGAACAAGACGCCATTGAATGCTGACGTTCCGAAACTAAGAACACATTTAATTACCTTTGTTGACATTTGTATTGTACACACCCTGTTATATCTTAAAGTTCTCGTTATACAAAACATAAAACATAAGAATACCATCTGGGTAATCCCTAACAATATATCAAAAAAGCATGTTTACAGTATTTTATGGAATGCTTCGTGTCTAAAATGACTGGCCTAATGAGAAAAAGAAGAAAATTTGGGTCATCTTGTGTTCTAAAATATACAAAAAGATCCAAAATAATTAAATTTATATCTTTCTATAAATGCTCCAAACACAAAGTGCGGCCTAAAGAAGACCTAAGCTACAGATTTGCAACTTTTCCAGATCGGTACGCTAATATCGTACTTCCAGTACGCGAAGCTCGTTCTTTTCAAAAACGACTAAACAGTCCCTTCCACGACGCGAGCGTTTCAATCGAACGTCCTTGGCAAACGCCAATGAGCGTCATTGAATGGGTCCCATAAAGTCGCGGTGAGCGGAACGAGGCTTCCATTTTCTACCGTTTCCTTCGCTTCAGTTCGATCTAATAAAACGCGCGCAACGGAAGAAAGAGAGTCGATAGGGAACAAAAACCGTGGATGCTATCGATCTGGGATCATGGGATTTTATCGAGAGTGCGAGGGGATGTACAGGCCACGTAATCAGGAAACAGCCCCGACCTATTCGTCATTGGTGCATCTGCCGGAGAACGAGACGGCGCGGAACGTTCACTGGCGCAGTGATTCTTAATCACTGTACTGCGGAACACCACCGTGAAAAACCGCTATAGCGTGATGCAAAAGTAGGGCAAAAGAGCTGAGAAATTTGTATGTTCTGTCGTTTTTAATACTCACACTGTATTTATGTACAGTTAATTGCATTCCGATGGAGTCTATTTTCAGTGTCATAGCAAAATTTTTAATTAGAACCGTGGTTATTGTACAGTGGGTGTAGAATGTATTCGTACACCGATCAATTTCCCAAGAAACTTTTCTGTGAAATTGTAGTTTTCTTAATTTCTTCTTTTATAATCAATGATATTTTACATATTCTCAGAAATTTCTAAAATAGATATAGTCCAAACAACATTTACTAGTTAATAGAATTTGTGAAATTAACAAAAAAATGGGAAAAGTGGGTAAAAGTATAAAAGCAATAAGTATTTGTACGATTCTTATGACGAACCATTTAGAGTAGAGTTTGTAACGTAAACACATTAGTTTATTGCTCCGTACGAATTAGAAAACATTAAATTTCCAGTAAAGTACTTTTAAAAAAGCCTCTAATAGAAAAATGGAAGAAGATCCCACTTCGAATAACTAATAATTTAGATAATTTAATGCTTAGAAGAGTTGCAATAATGATGAAATCAAAAGGAAATCCCACAAAGGAAGTATTGTATACTTATAAATTAATGTAAATTTCCTTTTTTTTTTTAAATTAAACAGTCGTGCGAATACTTATTGCTTTGATATTTCTATCGATTAATTGTTTTTTTCTTGTTAATTTCGCAACTTACATAAATGGCTATTTTTTTTTTACTCTATCTATTCTAGAAATTTCTGACAATATGTAGAATGTCATTGTAATTTTGAATTCATACACTTAATACTGTATGTAATGTATTTTTATGAATTTGTGAAAATTGTACTGTAATGGAACAATTAGAAGTGCAGTACAATTTGTATAATCACATTAATATAACTAATAGAATTCACATATTGTTACGTACATCATCGTGAGAAATAGAGATCTTGGTCCAATCCATTTTTAATAATTGATATAGTGTGTGAATTTATCTTATAACTTTTATTACAGACAAATGATGTTAAACAGAATTTATGTATATATAATTTTGAAACCATAAACTTATTATATGTTTGATGTTATCACACACTGTACGTTAGATTGATCTTACTATTATTAAATCATCTCTTCAGTTATGTAATAGTATTATCTTACTTCCATTAAGGTACAAAAGTACCAAATATATTTATTTAATATGAATATATAATGGTTTCATTAAAATTGTATGCAATGTATTTGTCTGTAATTGTGAAAATTGTACTATGATTCCAAAACTACAAGTACATTAGAATTTATGTATACACTTTAATATAACTGATAAAATTTATGCATTATTCTTATCATGTACCACAATCGATTGAAGGGTAAGCGTATGCAGCAATATATTAAATACTGCATATTATGGATAATAACAATACATATATTCATGCATCATAATTTTCACAATTTTCACGATTCTCATGTTTAGAGGCAAGAAATGCATATGGTAGGAAATTTTACATTGGCTCTAAAACGAAAAGAAAATGAAGAAAATGAAATAATTTTATTTGTTATCGTTCAAGCTAAAGAAATATTTACATATATTTAAACTGATTCAAGTTTCGGACCACATTATTTCCTTTACTGAATTTATACTTAGCAACCAGTTTATTATTAAATTCCTTTTTAGAATTAATATCACTGTCAGAATTCGTTTTTTATAAATGAAAATCTGAAAATCATTTTTAAAATTGTGTTGTGGGGTTTTAAAAGTTAAGAACCACTGTGTTCTCATCTCGTTGGGAGTCGTGCATGAAAGATGGCTGCGCATCGCCGCAATATATCCCCGGATCGCGCGTTTGCATTTACGACGAGGGCACGTTCGAATGGAAAAGATATCAGAAAACACCCCTATTCGAACGAATTCGTCGCGCAACGGGGTGCATCGGCGTCGTTGAGTCTGTGTGCTCGCGTCGAATTCTTCGTGCACAATTTTCCATGTTGGAGCCCATGCTTTATGGTCGCGCGGTTCTTCCCACGCATCGTAAACATTTAATGCCGATCGATATGTTCGTGATCGTTAAAAACGG